GACAGACTACCAGGCTAACCTGCTTCTGAGGGAGAGGCTGACTGCCCCGACATGACAGACAGGAGGTGCAGAGTCCGATGAGGAGAAGAGGGGCCCTTGTCACAGTAGACACTTCTAATCTTAAATTGTCATTTTCCTGACATTTAGCTGAGTTACTAGAAATTCTGACACTTTCTCCTGTGTTTATCCCTGTTTCCAGTTCCAGCTGCTGCCACAAATCTGAAGGTCACAGAAAACACCAATGGGCACCTATCCTTCAGCTGGACTACTTCCCAGGGAGACCTGGACTCCTATAATATCTTTCTGTACAATCCAGACAAATCCCTCCAGTACAGAATGTCCGGGGACAAGAAACTCCAGCAGTGTTCTTTCCAGAGCTTGTTGCAGGGCAGGATGTATAAAATGGTGATTGTTACTCACAGCGGAGAGCTCACAAATGAATCATCCATATTTGGAAGAACAGGTAAGAGCATGTAGCCGGATAATCCATCCCCAATGAAATCTACCTTAAGGACATCAATGAGCTAGTCTAATACCCAAAAGCTGGTACTAAAATCTAGTAAAGTTGCTATAAGTATTCAAACTGTCTTTATATATCAAAGGCATTATATAAAAGGAAGTAACATTTTAAATTATGTGACAACTGTTTTCAGATAATAAATTATTGTCCTAATTTATTATCTGCAGCCGAGTGGTATCTAAGTGTTCTAATCAAGGATAGGAGCCCCATTGTGCTAAGCACTATAGAGGTATGAAATAAAAATGACAGCCCTCTACTGCAAAGTGCTTACAGCACTGATTCATGATAAGATACAAGTGGGCAATATGATTGGGGAGTGAAGATAAAATAACAATCAGTAAAATATACAAGATTTCATGCCAGCACTAGTTGCAGATTGCCACTAGTCATTGCTATGTTGCTCCCCACAAGCCTCCTCTAATCTCCCGCTTACCCACACACACAAACCCACACACACGCACACACACACACGGAAATTCTGAAATTGTTTCCATGTTTTTCCCCCCAGTTTATGGCCACCATCACAACCCTGTTGTAGCACAATTCTTCCCCCAAGTATTCAGCATGTGGTAACTGTATAATCTCTCTTTCAGTTCCAGCCCCCGTTGTTCATCTCAAAGGTTCCAACAGAAACATGACCGACAGGCTGTGGTTCACCTGGGGACTGGCACCAGGAGATGTGGATTATTATCAACTCAATCTTTATAACCCAAATGGCACACAGAAGGAAACATGGCGTAGGAAAGACCTAACAGAGTGGCATTTCCAGGGCCTGGTTCCTGGCAGAAAGTACACCCTGGTTGTAGTGACCCACAGTGGTGACCTGATCAATACAGCAAATGCCGAGGGAAGAACAGGTATAGAACTACAGTGGATTTTTGTCCCTAACTGTCATAATTTACAGCAGTTTACTGATGTGGGATGGATTTGTTATGAGATAAGATTTTATTACATGAATTATTAAAGGCACAGGGAAGCACAAGTAAGACGAGCATAAATGGTATTACATTAGTGACAGGAAATAAATCAGAGTTCAACTAGTCTGTTCAGAGGCCTGTTTCTTATCAAAGTTACTTTGCAGAGACTAAAGAGAAATGAAGAAGTCTAAGACAGTGTCTGTTTTTTCTCATGTTTTTTCTCTGTGTGCAAATGTCATGAGACTTTTTGTTTTTATTTTTCCCCGTCTGTCTAGCACCCAGTCCTCCTAATGCTGTCTCATTTGCTGATGTTGCAAACACCTCCCTGTCAATCACCTGGCTGGGTCCCCCAGACTGGACGGATTACGATGACTTTGAGTTGCAATGGTTCCCGAGAGATCCCCTTACGGTCTTCAACCCATATAGCAACAGCAGATCAAAGGGACGCATCATGTATGGTCTTCGCCCAGGGAGGCTCTATAGATTCAGTGTCAGGAGCATCAGCGGGGATAGCTGGAAGACATACAGTCAATCACTGTCTGGAACTGTGAGAACAAGTAGGAACCCATTTTTATTGATCCCTTAGTGCTCATCTGGAGATGAGGCTAAAACAATGTGGCAAATGAATTAAACTTCACCCATTCCAGTTAAGCGTTTATTAATTTCCTCTAGTTGACTCAAGAATGTCTGGATATGGATTCAAGTGGAAATCAGAATGTTCCTTTCTCCTGTCCTACATTAAGTATTTACAGATAGAAATAAACTCAAGCCGTAAAATTCAGATTCAGAATAAAACATTCCTGAAATTCTGGGCTATTTGGCTCCAGCTTTTGAGTTGCTATAGAATCATAGAAATATAGGATTGAAAGAGACCTCAAAAAGACATAAAGTCCAGTCCCTGTGCACTGAGGCAAGACCCAGTGAACCTAAACCATCCCTGGCATGTGTTTTCTAAACTGTTCTTAAAAATCTCCAATGATGAAGATTTCACATCCACATCCAAAGCCTATGCCAAAGCTTAACTAACCTCTGCTCTGGACTATCTCCAATTTGTCCACATCTTTCCTAAAGCACAGTGCCCAGAATTGGACACAATACTTCACAGACATGCTCTGTTGAGATGGGCATTTCATAGGTTACACAGCAAACCAGATTCACACATCAGTGACTTTTGTCCCAGCCCCTCAAGAGGACTGTGTTGTGGTTTCTATTTCTGACTATTCAATTGACTTACTAATCTTGTAATAAACTGTAGATACTAACCACTACCTAAACTTGAAAGTTATACCCTGTATTTCTTTGCATGTTGCACCTTGAAAATATTTTAAGGGGGCAAAATAGAAACTTTTTCCCACTTGAATTCAACCTGCTAATTGGAGGGAAGTAAAAGGACAGAATAAAGATTTCAGTTGCTATGCTTCTTCCCCTTATCATACCAGGAGACTATGAAACTGCAGCACAAAGTCTTATTAGTGATAGCACCGTATAAAGGTGAAAAGGCAATAGTAAGGACATTCGTACGTACACCCCACTACCCCCTCCCCTTAGTTTTCTTCCCCAAAAGACCTGCAAAACTGCGCTGTTTGGATAGGCATTGGGACCAGAGGATGTATAAGAGGAACCATGAAAATGCTATGCCAGGTGGGCTGGGTGGATGGATAGATAGGATATGGTCCAGACGGTACTGGGTCCTGCCATGAGTGCAGGGGACTGGACTTGATGACCTCTCGAGGTCCCTTCCAGTTCTAGTGTTCTATGATTTTATAGATAAGTATAATAGCATATATATAAACAGATATATAGATATAGATCTATAAATAAAAATTTGGTGAAGATTTGGTGAAGACACTCTTGTGTATGGGAGTGCATGTGTACATATACAGAGTATGAATCAAAATTTTAACCAGGTGCTCTGTGAATTCCCACAATGGCAATTCTTGCCTGATGTAAGTGGGTAGAAATCATAGGATCAAAGTCTAGAAGGAAAATACAAGTGATTTTTGTTCCTGCGGAGATTTGTTTTTTGTCCTTTTGTTCCTGCAGAGATTTGTTATCGGTTTGTTCTTTGCATTGATTTGATAAAAAAATAATGACGAGTCCTGTGGCACTTTTTTGTGATTACGTTTCCCTCCAGTATAAAATCTAAGATCTTAACATTTATCTTGGGTCTGTTATGGGTGTGTTCCTCAGATAAGCTCACTGCATCTCTTAGTTGAAACTGGTCTCAGGCCAAGATTTCCAGAAGAGACAGATGTGGCTTGCCCCCATCTTGAAACTTCTGAAAGGGGCTTAATTTTCAGAAAGTGCTGAGCACCTACCGTCAGGCCACTTGACGGTGCCAGAAGTTAGTTCCTATAATTATTTGTCACTTGTGAAAACTTGGCCTTTCTCCATTTAGCATCTCAAAGGATAATGGTGATTAGACCTTTTTTTTCCCCAAGTACTATCAAAGTGTATTTAGTTGGTTGGGTTTTGGCTTTTTTTTTTTTTTTTTTTTTTTTTAAACATGCATCTCTAGTTTTTCACCTTGAGGGTGTGTCTAAACTACATGGCTCCGTTGACGAAGCCATGTAGATTAGTGTATTCTAAAAATGGAAACGAAGCAGCGATTTAAATAATCCCCACTTCTTTTACATCAAAATGACTGCCGTGCTGTGCCGATCAGCTGTTTGGTGGCACAGTGCCGTAGCCTGGACGCTCCGCGGTCGACCACCCCAGTAAACCTCATTCCACGAGGCATAACAGGGTTGTTGACAAGAGAAGCCCTTGTCAACCGCAGAGCATCCAGACTACTGCGCTATGTCGCCAAACAGCTGATCGGCACAGCGTGGCAAACATTTTGAAGTAAATGAAGCGGCGATTATTGAAATTGCCGCTTCATTTCCCTATGTCTAGAAACCTCATTTACATGGCTCCATCAATGGAGCCATGTAGTCTAGACATACCCTGAGAGTTAGAGTTTGACAAAGGTGCCTTTATTCAATTTCATTTTTGCGCTGTCAAAGTGGGTTCCTTTAATTAGAACTTTTTAAAAATTATCTTATAATATTTAATAACCTTGTATTTGTGCTTCAAGGAGCTGCGAGATAATTTGCTAATTCCTGCTATCTTACCTCCCTCTTTTGTATTGTACAGTACTTTGGTTCTTAAACTTTAATTTATTTCTTTGGATAGTTGCAGAAAATAAAGTTGAAAGGAAAAATAGAAGTTTATAAATAGAAGGATAGAGATTTGTGCTTTTCATTGTTGTGTGTGTGTGTGCTATATGATATGAACATTTTCTTGTAAAAGGTATGCATTTCAATTAAGCAGTATGATGAGATTTTTTAAACGAGAGTTAAACTCCAAGTGTACCATAGTTCTATTAATATGTTGGATTCCTATTGCTGCACCTTCCTTAAGAAAATTTCCAAAGCTGCTTTTTTTTTTTTTTTTTTAACAGTTACTAAGAGTCACAGGTTCTTTTGAAGGTCAATGGCATTAATTCAGTTTTGTACATGGTTAAAATAAGTAAAAAATGAGGTCAAGTGACTTGCCTAAAACCTTTCAGCAGTGTGGCAGAGCTAGGAATCCTGACTCTTAGTTCCTTTGCTCTAATTAAGTTATTAATTTAGAGTGCTGAGAATGATGCTCAAGCCATAGGATGAGCACAAAATGTTTAATGCATGTTCTCTGTTACATTACACTTCAACTTTTCAATCTCTCCTTCATCTTTAGAACCAGACAAGATACAAAACCTTCACTGCCGGCCACAAAACTCTACTGCCATTGCATGTTCCTGGACCCCACCTGATTCTGACTTCGATGGATATAGCATTGAATGCAAAAAAATGGACACTGGAGAAGTTGAGTTTTCTAAAAGGCTAGAGAAAGAAAGATCTTTGCAAAACATCATGATGCTAGTACCCCACAAGAGGTACTTGGTATCCATCAAAGTGCACTCTGGAGACATGACTAGTGAGGTAGTTGAAGACAGCACCATTACCATGATAGATCGTAAGTCCTTGATATAACGAATACATAGATACAATGGAATGGAGGGAGAAGGTGGTGAACCTGTGCCAAGCATGGCAGAGTTAGTTAAAACATTATTTAAAGAAAAAGAGATAATATCTAGAAAAGGACAGAGGCAGAATAGAAAGAAACAGTGGAGTATACTGGAAGGAAAAAGGTAAGAGATTATTCAGCAACACACAGCTTCCTATATTCCTAACACACTTTTGCCACAGAAAAACTGTCATGGCTTCTGGGTGTATACGAGATCTCTGGGAATATTTTGAAGAGATTTGTTCCCTGGGTATAAAAGGAAAATGTGTCAAGTGTAAACAGTGCAAGACAAAAACACAGGACCTAGCTGCAAGAATGAAACATCATAAGGAAAATTGATTATTGTGGATATGTCTGAAGACCAATGTGGATCAATTTTGCAATGAATCATTCTTCAAGACACTCTCTATGCCTTTTTGCTATAAGTGTGATTTAATAAGTAAATTCTAAGCTTTTTGCTTGTATGTTGCTAGAAAAAAAAACTATGCTAATCCTTATGGCTTGTTTAATTAGTTAACTAAGTTTAGAATCTAGCGCCCAAGAATATAGTACAGAAAGCTGCAGAGAGAGAAATCTAGAGTTGCCAGTTGCCACTGGGTGTCATTTTCTTATTTTACGTTATGTAATACATGCCTCTTATTTTGGAACATCATAGTCACAGACATATAATGGCAGTGCCATAAATCTACTTCCTGTTTTAATTCAGCATAACTCAGCTTTCCTAAAGAAGGCCCAACTTATATACTTGTTTCCAATAGGACTGTGTCTAGACTGCAGGCTTCTTTTGAGAGAACCTTTTTTCAGAAGAGATCTTCTGAAAAAACGTCTTCCGAAAGCGAGTGTCCACACACCAAAGCGTATCGAAAAAGCGATCTGCTTTTTTGAAAGATAGTGTGCACACTGAATGGACGCTCTCTCGCATGTAAGCTGTGATTGCTATGAAAGGAATGGCCACTAGGGCACCTGTGCTTTTTCCTCTTTCCTCTTCTTTCAAAAGAACTCCCTCTTCCCCGTCCACACACACCTTTTTCCGAAAGAGCTCTTCTTCCTCATTAAAAAGAGGATTACCAACGCTGGAAAAAACCCTCTGTTCTTTCAGTTTACTTTCGGAAGAATGCAATTGGAGTGTGGACGTAACTCAGGTTTTGTCAGAAAAACAGCCATTTTTCTGTACTGTAGACATACCCTAGGGCTTACTCCAAAATTAAATGCACTCTAAGCACAGTCAGTCAGCTAGCTTTTTTGGTAACTTGGAATCAGATCTGCATCAAAATGACAGTGGGAGTGGGGAAGATGAGAGCTTGTTGTGGAAGTTTTAAGGACACTGTACATTTAGTGTTGTAAGGACCTGTCTGTTAGAATTAATACAATTTGAATTTTTTTAAAAAAAGCATTTAAGGACAGCTGTCAGCTGGCAACTGAGGAGACTGCTGCAGTTGCAAATGTGAAACATTTAAGATTTAGTTTAATAAAATATAAGTGGTATTGGGTTTATGTGTGTATGATTTAGTTCTTACCATTCCTAATGTACTGCTGCTATATCTGCAGCTTGACACAGATAATGAGTATTATGTTCTATTTCCTAAATTAATAAACATCAAATTAGCTAAACAAAATAGATGTAAAATGCTGTAGTGAGCTGTAAATTAACACATTTTAGTGATCAGATATGCAACACTCTGCAGAAATATGAAGTATCAGTGGGAAAAAATGATTTAAATCAATGATTTTTGTTTTGGTGATTTAAATCAGTTATTTAAATTGCTTTGATTTAAATCAGGATTTGATCATCTGGTCTTGTTGGTTAGTCAGCAGCCTTTTAACCATCCTGTTGTGTCACAGCAGCCCCCAAAATGTGTGACTAAAATGGGGAATCACCTGTGTTTAGTTGAATGCTGTGGCATATTATAAAGCATCTAAAGCTTGCTTTAGTTTAAAGGATGCTTTCTTACTATATAATGTGTATTATAAAATGTTGTGACCGCAAAGAGCATAATATGGAAGACATTGGGTTTAAATGGATGAGTTTTATTGAGATTTGCATTTCACTTGCTGTTCTCATGTAATTGAATATATAGATGGTGATGTTCTTTATTTCCCATTCCCTCTCTCTTCTTTCCCAGGTCCTCCTCCTCCACCTCCCCACATCCGAGTGAACAAAAAGGATGCACTCATTACTAAATCTTCCATCAATTTTACTTTCAACTGCAGCTGGTTTAGTGACACCAATGGAGCTGTGAAATACTTCACTGTGGTTGTGAGAGAGGCCGATAGTAAGTTTTCATGAATTCATGGGTTTCTTTCTGTAACCCGTAATAGCATGGGGAGTGTTTGTGCTCACCGACTGGCTGGACATCAGAAGAGGTATCTGAATCTGCTTCTGCATCCAAGCCAACGAATCTGGTCCTTTATCTCAGCAGGGAGAGGGTTTTTAGATCCAGAGATCGAGTCCCCACTGGCACCAATGTTAAGGGCAGAGTTGTACTTTATTCTTTGGGATTTTACTGTACACATGTTTGGATTGTTTCCTTAGAGACAAGACGAGCAAACTGAAACAAATGTCTTGGAGTACAGAAATGGGACAAATTGTCTTATGCACTGATTCAATAATGCAGCTCAGGCAGTCACTTCAAGCAGTTAGCTTCCGTTTCTATGGGCCTCAGACTTCCCTGATGAGCCCTTATTAGAAAACAAAGGTAGCTTACAGACTGAATAAAATGAATCAGATGTTGTTTATTTCATGAGGTAAATCGCTCTCATGAACACAAGTGTAAACTGAAGCAGAAAATATCCCCATTTAGTGCAAATATTATTTCTTCTTGTCTTAGCCTACACATAGGAAGGGAGGCCTTGCCGTTAAAGCCCTGAACTAGGATTCAGGAAATGTGAGTTTAATTGCTGGCTTTGCCATAAGCTCTCTTTGTGACCTTGTGCAAATCATTTCATCATTCTGTACCTCTGGCAGAGCAGGGACTAGTTCTCACTATCTATTTGTACAGTGCCTAGCATGGCTGACCCTCTTGGGCACTATCATAAATAATACAAAATTGAGATTCATTTCTGGGGGCTAAAGCATCATTTCCTATTGCAACTTTTCTCTGCACCAGCTGGCTACATTTTTCACACAACCTTCTCAGGGCATCAGGTCCTATCCGTTCTAGAATGGAATCTGAAAGAGCTATATCAAATGCCCTGAGTTATCTAGCCAGGCAAGCCAGCCTCAAACCAAAAGTGTCCCCATCCATTAATTTGCGGGTTCAAATAGGAGACAATGTGTCTGGAACACCCTGAGCTAGACTAAGTGCAAAAATTACTAAGAGTATGTCTATATTGGAGCTAGAGGTGCAATTCCTAGCTTACCATACTAAAAAGTGGTGGTTCTGGCACCCTACGTACATACTTGGGCATCTAGTCCATACCCATGCAGCCATGGCTGTGCTCTTGTTTGTAGCATACTGTAGATCTATCAGAGCAGGCATGGGAATGTCTACCCCAGCTGAGAGTTACACCTTCCACTCCAGTATAGATATACCTTAAGACTTATTTGAAGCATTTGTGCCACAAGGCAACAGTATGTGGATCATCACTCAAGGTATTTGAGTCTAGTAGAGGTCTCTGTAAAGAGGTTGGCTTTCATTGCTTTAACAATTTTGAATACAGTACAGTGCAGTCTTCATCAGACTATAGGAAGTTTTTTGAACCACGGCACCAGTTTGCTTTGAAACACACAACTTCCTGTCGGTCGGAGTTTCATATTTGCTGTGTTCTGCTGCTTCTCCTGGGGAACAGATTACCACACCAGACCAACAGTAGTTTGTAAAGATAACATAGCTACTAATGACCATTGCGGTTACAGTTAATAGTAACAGTTCATACATAGTGTGTTTCTTCTGGAGACCTTCTAGTGCATTACATAATAAGGTAACTTGGCAGATGGCAAAACGGAGGCTTAGAAGAAAGTGACTTGCCTACGGTCATACAGCAGTTTAGGATGAGGGCTGGGAACAGATCCCAGGTAACTTAGCTCCGAGTCCCATGCCCCATTCACTAGATCATGCAATCTCTCAAAGTGTAGAAGTTTCTCAAGTGGTAATGCCTTGGTCTTAAATGGTATAGCTGTGGCATATGATAGGCAATTTTTTTCTCCAGGCAGTGAAGAGCTGAAGCCGGATCAGCAGCACCCATTACCTTCCTATTTGGAATACAAGCACAACAATACCATACGTGTCTATCAGACAAACTATTTTGCAAGCAAATGTGCTGAAAACCTTGACAGCAACTATAAGAGCTTTGACATTAATCTTGGAGCTGAGATGGAAAGTCTGGGAGGAAAATGTGATCCAAATGAGCAGAAATTCTGTGACGGGCCATTAAAACCCAGGACTGCCTACAGGTTAGATTTATTGTGCTCAGTGTGCTGTGTGTGAAATGTGCTGTGTTATTAGGCACTATGCTATCTAGATGCCTGATGCGCTTGAGCTGCTGTAGATTAATAACCTGTGTTACATGGTATTCTGTGTGTTGTATTGTGCAATTTATAAAACTTTTCTTCCTGCCCTGTCTTTTAGGTAATATGTGAACAGTTCCTTCACCAGCCTGGGAATCATACAATTTGTTATGTGCAACACTCTGTGCAGTGAAAGGGCCTATTTATGCCTTTTACTTTAATGGGGAACTTTCCTATCGTTGCTGATTTCTCCAGGGAGCGAGTTAAGGGCTGGATCAGGAGCTAAGTTAGGAGAGCAGTTGAGACCACTTAAAAGGAAGGAGGGAAGTGCAAAGGTGGCTTTGTGCTTCTCTAATTCTGTGGACAGGCTGTACCAGGCCAATCTGCTGTACCAGAGCAATCCAAAGGCTATTCTATCTTGTGCCAGCTTCTAATAGACTCAGGAAGCTTTTACAGATGACTCAAGGCAAAGAGAAACTTCAGCCACAGTCAGGCATGGCTACTAAAACACCTATATACCCCCTATTGAGTCCTCTACATTGTCCTGAACCTCCAAGGGCTATATCCAATTACTTTAAGGCCATTTTGTGCCTTGGGAATGGCAGAAAGCAGCTGAAGCATGACCCACCATCTAAGCCTTAGAATTCACCAAACAGTAGAGTATTTGAAGTAATATCCCCATACAATTATGACTTGTATTTCAGATAAACAGGATATCATATGTTTATTTAGAAGCTGCAGCTTCACACTAAATGTAATTACTTTTCCCTGCAGCAATAAGTCAAGCTTAGCTACTATGTGTAGGCTATTAAAAACATGATGGGACAGTGGTACATTTGAAGTGAAAGCAATTTTCAAGTGGGCTCTAGTTGGGTTCAGTGGAAATTATGCCCACTTATCCCTACTCAGAATGAGGCCTGTGGAGAGTAAAGATTTCTACTTCATAACTTCTTTGATTCTAAATTCTATCAGCTGGCCAGCAGGAACTGCCTCCACAGGTTATCAAATCCACAATGTCAGTTGAGTGAATAGATCAATAAACCATTCACAGACACTCATTTTAGCTTTTTAATGAATTTGGTTGGACTTCATTTAAGCTCCTTTTGCTTTCTGTGAGTGCTCTTAGAAATGAGTTTGCTATAAAAGGAAAATTCATGGAATTAAACAGTGAATACTTGCAGAATTTTTAGCCTTGTTCTTTGTATCTGTATTAGAAACCTGCTTAAGAACTACATTCATTCAGTTGAAGAATAGAAACATACTATGTGATCAATGAAATTAATATGTTCATGTGAAAGATTAGTTGATTAATTTTCAGTGACAAACTTTTAGTAATCAGGAGCCATTCATCAGACAATTTGTGACAATAGCAAAGATCTAAATCCAAGAACAATACCACTCAAAGAGATTTGTTTTTCCAGCTCATGAAACTACTTTCATGAGTTCTGATAGCCTGAGGTAATAAAGTCCTGATCCTGAAAACACTTACACACAGAAGTAGTCCAGGACTAATATCAGGAGAGGCAGACTATAAATAGGTCCAGAATATGACTGTTCACATGCAAAGGTATATGTAGGATCAGGAGCATAGAATGTAATCCAGATCTAAGACCCCATATCATAGTATTTAGGACAGTTATCATAGTCACAGGTCAGTTAGTCAGCAGGGTGTTCGTTTTGTTTTTGGCTTACGGTACTGCAGTCCTATGTCAAGAACACACTGGAAGACACAGTTAGACAAGAAATGTTTTTTTCACTCAAGTTTAGTATGTTATCTCATCTGGTATGTAGTCCTTCTTTCACTTTTCCCACATACTGTTGAACAACAGGTAGATACCGATACATGGATTGAACTTCTAAGGTGCTAAAAATATAAGTACAGGCAGTCCCCGGGTTACGTACAAGATAGGGACTGTAGGTTTGTTCTTAAGTTGAATTTGTATGTAAGTCGGAACTGGTACATATTGTAGGGGAAACTCTAGCCAAACATTTCTCCAGAGCTCAGTTTTATTCTCCCACACCTCACTTCCCTCAGTCCTTTATTCTCAAGCTGAGGTGTCTGCTGAGAAAAGCCACTCCGTGTCTCCCTGGTCTGCTGGGAGGAAGCAGCTAGTGCGGGGTTGCCTCACCCCGTTTGTAAGTAGGGATCCGATGTAAGTCGGATCCATGTAACCCAGGGACTGCCTGTATAACAATAATAGTGCAGGCTGAAGCTCTCTGGTCTGGCACTTTCTGGTCCAGCAACATCCATGGTTCGGCATGATTTTAGTTAGTTGGATGTCCACTTATCATGGGTGTGGCCAAGTTTCCTGCATAAAGTTTGTTTACAGCCATCAGTCCTGGTTCTGTGTTCCGTGCTGTTATTTAATTCTAATTGACCCCTAATTTTTTTTGAAGAGCCCAGTAAGCAGTGGAAATGTTGGTAATGCTGCTAGACAATACTGATCTGTGGTTTGGCAAATTCTCTGGTCAGGTCCTGGGGGAGCCTTCAGTTAAAAGGTGCAAGAAATGTACATAGTAAATGTCTGAAAACCCTGTTTTGTCATTTTGCTATTTTTGTGTAAACCTTTCCTATTTAATACCAACTCCCAAACAGATCTAATAAACCTTTCTGCTTTTCCAGGATCAGTATACGAGCTTTTACCCAGCTCTTTGGTGAAGACCTGCGGGAATTCACTGAGCCACTCTTTTCTGATACCTTTTTCTCTTTACCAATCACTACTGAGTCAGGTTAGTCTCTCCTTTCTTCTCTACTAACTTTACCAGCTACATGTGTATCATGCCCATTAGTGTTGGAGTGGATAGGAGAGAGCAGCAAGGACCTTATTGCTGAACTGAATGTTTGGTATTTAGCACTGTAGCTGTAACACTTCCCCTTCTATCTGTGATTTCCTTCAGAAATACAAAACTTCCTACAAATTCTCTAAGCATTCACTTTAAAAGGGACCAACACAGAGAGAGAGTTGTAACACCAACAGGCAGGACTGAACCTGGAACCTCTGGAGCTTAGAGCATGAACCTTTACCGCTTGAGCCAAAAGCCAGCTGGCTCTCAGCTAAGGCTGTAGAGAAAACTCATTCACTCTCTCTGTGTAAGTGACCTAAATGCCACTACATGGGACAGTACACCATCTCCAGTAGGTGTGTGGGTTACATACTTCCCCTAACTGAGGAAGCACATCTCAAACTTCAGCGACATCCCAGTTTAAATCCCAGACATGCCCCACTTGTAATGACAACAGGCAGAATCAAATCCTGGGACCTCTGGAGCCTAGTGCAAGAACCTTTACTGCATGAGCTAAAAGCCTCCTGGCTCTTAGCTAAGGGTGTAGAGCAGTGGTCTCCAACCTTTTTACACCCAAGATCACTTTTTAAGTCTCAGAACAGGCGAAGATCTACTGCCCCGCCCCTTCCTTGAAGCCCCGCCTACATTACATGAGGAAATCTAATGTAAATGTACTGCGCAGGTGCGCAGTTCAGAGAGGGCTCAAGAGCTACTCTTAGAGCCCCTAAGATCTACCGGTAGATCGTGATCTACTGGTTGGTGACCACGGGTGTAGAGCAAACTCGTTCTCTCTCTCTGGAAGTGGTCTCAGTGCCACTACATGCAATAGTGAACCACACTCAGTAGGGGTGTGGGTTACAAAAGCAAGGACTGCACAGTCCTCTTCGGGATAGAAATAATACATAGGGCTTGGTTCTTCATCGACTTTCTGCCACTTGTACTGCTCAAAGTGGACAGAAATGGCCAGTGGAAATTTACCTTGGTGCAGGAGAGCTCTCTTCTGGAGTGAATCAGGCAGAAATGGCATAATTCCTTCCAGCCTCAGCTATTCCATGTGCCCATGGTGTAGGGGAGACATCGGAGGTGGGGGGAGGGGAGTATGGTGGAATTATGTTGATCCTTTCATGGTGCAGTGTCCCCGAGTGACTTCATGCCAGTGACATGAATTAGACCTGCCCCTCAGCAACTCTAACTTATGGTATCCCAGCACAGGATCAGGGAGCTACAACCAGTTCCCGATGGTCCCTTGTTTTAGCTGTAATAGGCCAATGAGCCTGTAGGTTATACGTTCCTTGGGAAGGGATTGTCACTTGATAACACATTACGCAGCGGAGCTGGAGTCCCTAACTCTCCCATCACTTCTGCAATACAATCAGTAATAACACAGTCACTTGCATACAAGGATCTTAATATACTTTCCAAAAACTGATTAAGCTCAAAATCCCCTTGAATCCAGGTGAGAGTTACCTTTTGTATGAGAAACTGAAATAGTTATGTTGCCCCATATAAATGGTCTCAAAATGGGATTGAAACAGTGGTTTATCCTAGACTCAATTTGAAAAATCCAGTCAACTACTGAAACCTGGGGAAGACATCTGAACTCTTGAAAAATCTGGCTGTTTCTTTTCCTCCCTGATTCTATAGAAGGAGAGAACTTTTGTCTCTTCTACCTGTTTCTTGTCTGCCTGATATATGGTGCAAGATCTTGAAAAAGCAAAGAAATAATACCAAAGCTCAGTCGTCCAAATATATATGCAGTTAAAGTTCCTTTGTGTTTATTTCAGTGTCTTTAGCTGATAGCATGGTGTATATCTAATTACTTTGCTCTCTGTGTGTGTATCTTTCTTAGAGTCCATGTTTGGAGTTATAGAAGGCATGAGTGCTGGTTTGTTTCTCATTGTGATGCTGGTAGCTGTCACTGCTTTATTCTTCTATAGACAAAAAGTTAGGTAAGTAGAAACTCCCTCTTTTTGTTGCTAAAGGTCAGATGAAATTAGATATGATTTTCCATCTGAGACTCTGAGGAAGATGTAAAATTGGATGAAAACATTAAATTATATTTAGGAAAACAAAACCCTAATTCCATCTTTCCCACCATTTGTACAAATTGCATATTGAACTAAAAAGCCCTATATTGTTCTTGATTAAGGATCAGAATTTCCACTGATTAATGGGAATTGCAAGACCAAGGCTGCAATAGGACCTTTGGTTCTTAGTAGAGCTTGTCAACAAATTTTCAATTGAAGCAGTTTTTTGTCAGAAAATAAGGCTTCGTTAATACCTCTGATGGTTGGAAACCTTCTAATTTTCAACCTGAGTTAGTTCATGACAAGTAAACACCAGAAAGGGAGAAGAGCTATATAGCTAATGGACTAAGTTGACACAATAAAAGATGGATGTACACAAGCCATGAATAGTGTAATGAGCACAGGGTGAATTCCACAACCTCCCCAGATCTAGTCAGAGTGCTAACGCTGACTTCTGATTTGACCCTTCACAAGTCTGAACTGCCCTGATTTTCAGAGGTCTGAGCATGAAGCACTCTGCACTTCTGAAAAGTGTGTCAGTAACCTGTTGTGCCAGCTGCACATGGAACTAGTGATACTACCTGTCTCACAGGGTGTGACGGCGCGTTGGGGGTTCCCCGTCTCCTGCACCCTGAAATGGCACAAACAGACTCCACCAGCCAGTGGAATTGAGGATGGTTTATTGCTCCTCCAGGATACAGCACAGCACAGATGTAATCTGGTTACAGGAACTGGGGCTAAGAGGCCTCAGTGCCCCCCCTTGAGATGGGGGAGTCCCAGCCCCCCTCCCCAGCTCCTTTTCCCCTGCTTTCCAGACAGGAACTAACTCTACCTCTCCCAGCCCTGCCCCCAGCCAGGGCAGCCTTCCACCTCCCTTTGTTTCTCCCCATGGGGGGTAGGCTGGTTCAAACTGTATGGTACCTTTGCATAATAAGGTTTTCCCTGATGGGTCTTGCTCCAGACAGCAGAGGTCACCACAGCCCAGCAAGTACTCCCACTACGTCACACAGGGGTGTTCTGCAGATCCGTTGTTTAGGCCTTACCCTGCCTATACGGCTGGTTGGGGGGAAAAAAGGTTCCACATCTCCAGAAATGTTGAGGTTTTGAAATTTATTTGAATTCAATGTTGGAACAAAACTGAGACCTTTCTAGAATATTCAAGAGAAGAAAAAACTCAACAGCAAGATTCAGACCAGAGACTTGAGTGCCCTAGTCATCAGTTTATTGGTTATACTGGGTGTCATGATTATGAGGGTTAGCCAGCAGCCTGGGGATTAAGGGGTTAACTACACCTAGCCAGGTGGAGTGACCAATAGGAAAGTAGGTGGGACTTTTCAAACTGGGACAAAGGAATTTGGGTTTTTTTCCTTTGGCTTTTTGTCTCTCTGGCTGTGTCCAGACTCAGGGGCTTTTTCGGGAAAAGTAGCCTTTTTCTGAAAAAACTTCACCTGCGTCTAGACTGCAGCCGCGTTCTTTCAAAATTAAATCGAAAGAACGCGGCTTTTCTTTCGACGGCGGTAAACCTCATTTCACGAGGAAGAACGCCTTCTTTCGAAAGTGCTTCTTTCGAAAGAAGGCGTTCTTGAATGTAAATAGGGCTTCTTCGAAAGAGAGCATCCAGACTCACTGGGTGCTTTCTTTCAAAAAAGCGGCTTGCTCTTTTGAAAGTTCCGCGTGCAGTCTAGACGCTCTCTTTCGAAAGAGGCTCTTTCGAAAGAGGCTTGCAGTCTAGACATAGCCTAGGTGAGAATGCAGGCAGAAGCCCTGCAGCAGAGCAGGGGGTTATCCTGTTTATTGCATCCAATGTAGCATGTATGATTAGCTTCCCTATGGACAGGTAGTATGTGTGTGCCCTCAGAGTTAGTGTACAGACTTTGAAGGCCAAGATAGCTGAATTGGAGGAGCTAAGGGAGGTACAGAGGTACACTGATGAGGTAGGCGTTTCTCTCTCTCTCACACACACACACACACACACACACACACACTAGAAATTCCCTCCAAGACCTGAGAAATCTTCATGACAAAAGGTTTTCCATGAAAAGTTATAGGTGTGATGAATCGGCATGTTAGGAACTAGTTCTAATACTCACATTAGTGGTAGTTTGACTTGCATGTCTTATGGTAGAGATACAGGAAAACTGCATCTGCAGAGATCCATTTCTGAGCAGCCAATGAAACAGCCGACTCCTTGTATTCCTTTCCTTTATTTCCTGCCACAAGATACTTCTGTTGCCCTCCTCACTTTGACATTTGAACCCAGTACTTAGAACCAAAGTAAGAATAGTTTCCTTTTTATTGCAGTAATGGCCATGAACGACGTACAGCAAGACTGAGCATTCGCAGGGACAGGCCATTGTCCGTCCATCTGAACTTGGGGCAGAAAGGGTAATCTCAAAGCTTGTTTCCAAGAGAAAACTGTTTTAACATGTCATGATAGATAAAACCATCTCTCCAGTCCGTCACTGACAGGGTGTTTCTTTTTATTATTTCTAGGAGCCGGAGAACTTCCAGGTAAAAGCAAATAATTCTTCATTTAAAACATCTTCCTTTGTAATGAATTAGATGACTCATGTCCTTGTTCTCGCCTGTGGTAACTGGGTATTTTTGTGTTTTGTCTTTTTTCCCTGTTGTATGTTTTAGTCCAATAAAAGTAAATCAGTTTGAAGTGCACTTCACCAAACTCCAAGCAGATTCCAACTACCTCCTATCCAAGGAGTATGAGGTACGAATCCAATCCAGTAAAATCATTTCTTTATTAAACAGATTGGTTAGGTGCTAACTCTAGCTCACCAATCCTTCAGCCCCAGAGACACATTCACTTCTACACACAAGTGAAACTGAGTTTGATAGTCTTGCCTTAGTCCCTGTTTGCTCTGCTGCCGAAAGAACAATGTAATTAGGCACAGCTTGATCTGGTTAGCAGCCTCGCTTCATCAGAGACCCAGCACAGGGCCAACAGGATGTGTGGAAGGTCAGGACTAAGTTGTGCAGGCAGAGCTGTGTGGCAAATCTTGAACAGTGTGTACCAGCCTGGCTCAAGCTAATGCCCCCAGTGCTCTAATTTCAGTCTAATAAAAAGCATTTCCTGTCCTTAGCCGCTGGACGTTCTATAGTGTAGCAGCTTTTGGTTATTTTTAACCTCACATTCATTTTGGCCTTTTGCAGGACTTAAAAGATGTGGGTCGAAACCAATCGTGTGACATAGCACTTTTGCCGGAGAACAGAGGGAAAAATCGATACAATAATATATTGCCCTGTAAGTTTTACATTTGGGTATATAATATTCCCTCACACCAGCTATTTTTCACATCTTTTCAGGAGGGGATGGGGCAATCCTTTTCCTTTCTACTTTGTCGGAGGTGAAACAGCATTGCCAAGCCAAGTCTTGGTGCTTGGATGCTGACAGCGTATGGCCGCCTGCTTTTAAACAGCAGCTCTCATGAAATTTCACTTCACACCAGAGGCGTAATGACTTAATATTCATTCTGTTTATAACAGGCTTCAGCCGATCGAGCCTTTCACCTGCCAGGGTAGATAGTAGGGATGTAGCACATTTAAACGATTAACCACTAAGCCTAGGCTTATCAATTAATCCAAGCAACTACACGCAATCCCCCATCCCCGCTTGCTGCCTCTGAATCAGAGGCAGTGGGGATGGGGGGAGGTGGGAGCCGATGACCATGGGGAGCTGGCTTTTAAGACATCTGCCCCCAACCTTGCCTCGCATAGAGACAGCAGCGGGGGAGTCAGGCAGGAGTTGGTACTCAGGGGGAGCCAGCTTAAAAGCCGGCTCCCCACGAGCAGCACCACAGGGGGGAGCAAGCGCAGGGCTGGCCTTACCATGAGAGAACTGAGGTAGTCGCCTCAGGGGCCAGACTCTTTGGGGGCGCCATTAGGACCCAGAGTGTAGGAAATTGTATCTGCTGCTGGTGCAGCGGGGGAGAATGGAGGCATCATTTGAGCTCCCCGCCTCAGGTGCCAAAATGTTGTGGGCTGGCCCTGAGCAGGCGGGATGCTGGCACAGCTTCTGCCTGCGGGGAGCTTGCATCACACCCTGTGGACAGCAGCTGCTGCCACCCCTCACTGCTGCCTCTGTATCAGAGGCTGCAGCATAGGATAGCAGGGGGCTCCCTGGGAGTGGGACTGGGAGTACACTGGCTCCTGGCCTCACCTCCAGGGACTATCAAATATTCATATAACTGGTAAATTTTGGTGCGGTTATGTGATTATTCAATTACACGATATCTAACATCTCTAGTAAATAGTAGGAATAATAATAGAAACCTTGTTTCAGAGAGTAGTTATTAATGGTTCACAATCCTGCTGCAAAGGCATAACAAGTGGGGTTCCGCAGGGGTCTGTTTTGGGACCGGCTCTGTTCAATATCTTCATCGATGATTTAGATACTGGTATAGAAAGTACGCTTATTAAGTTTGCAGATGATACCAAGCTGGGAGGGGTTGCAACTAATCTGCAGGATAGGGTCATAATTCAAAATGACCTGGACAAATTGGAGAAATGGTCTGAGGTAAACAGGATGAAGTTTAATAAAGTCAAATGCCAAGTGCTCCACTTAGGAAGGAACAATCAGTTTCACACATACAGAATGGGAAGCGACTGTCTAGGAAGGAGTACGGCAGAAAGGGATCCAGGGGTTATAGTGGACCACAAGCTGAATATGAGTCAGCAGAGTGATGCTGTTGCAAAGAAAGCAAACATGATTCTGGGATGCATTAACAGGTGTGTTGTGAGCAAGACATGAGAAGTGATTCTTCCGCTCTGCTTTGTGCTGGTTAGGCCTCAGTTGGAGTATTGTGTCCAGTTCTGGGCACCGCATTTCAAGAAAGATGCGGAGAAATTGGAGAGGGTCCAGAGCAGAGCAACGAGAATGATTAAAGGTCTAGAGAACATGACCAATGAGGGAAGGCTGAAGGAATTGGGTTTGTTTAGTTTAGAAAAGAGAAGATTGAGGTGGGACATGATAGCAGTTTTCAGATATCTAAAAGGGTGTCATAAGGAGGAGGGAGAAAACTTGTTCATCTTGGCCTCTGAGGATAGAACAAGAAGCAATGGGCTTAAACTGCAGCAAGGGAGGTTTAGGTTGGACATTAGGAAAAAGTTCCTAACTGTCAGGGTAGTCAAACACTGGAATAAATTGCCCAGGGAGGTTGTGGAATCTCCATCTGTGGAGATATTTAAGAGTAGGTTAGATAAATGTCTGTCAGGGATGGTCTAGACAGTATTTGGTCCTGCCATGAGGGCAGGGGACTGAACTCGATGACCTCTCAAGGTCCCTTCCAGTCCTAGTATTGTATGATTCTTGTCACTTGTGTTTTGTGCCATCAGCACCAGATATCAGCAGGGCTGCTTTCTTCCTGGCCATTTAGATATTGTCAGTTCAACACTGTCTAGTGGCCACAGATCACTTATTTGACATGGTTCGGTGACAGTCACTTCCTTCAGAACTAATAATGAGCCTGCAGTAGCACAGTGCCCCCCAGGATGACCCAAGGCAATAATCCTGAGGGTATCCTCTTTCAGACAAGACAGACCCCGACAGTATGTAGCCCCATGAGAATGGGGGTAGCCCTGACATTCTGGAGAATGCCTAGTGGATATTAAACGCTTATCATGAATAGTCCTCTGCAATTTCAATGGGCTGTCATAGCAGTCAGCTTGCTTTCCAGTCCTACCTTGCCATGTACAGTAGGTTTCCATGTTTTATCCAGAGGTAGCTGCATTTCAGTAGTGGATGAAGGGATCTCTCGGTAGGTATGTCTCACTGCAGGGAGGACAGTGCTTTCCAGCTCACACAGACATATGCTTGCTAATTCACTTAAAACATCACTGCATCTGGGGGTAGCCAGGGCAGTGGCTCGGGCTACCCACCAAAGTACATACCCAGTAGGTCTAAGAGGGCTTGTACTCAGGCAACTAGCCCAGGCTACCCTCAGCTGCACCGCTATTTGTAGCACACTCTCAAACGGAATTGCACTTGTCTGCCTAGCCCTGCTGGGAAATACCCACCCGGCTGCCCTATGGAAGTACCCAGAGTGTGTGTGTGGGGGAGAGGGGGGGCACTATGATTCCTGGAAGGGCAAGTGAGGCAGCATTCAGACAGCTGGCTATGCCATGGGGGGAAGTATTCCTACTCCCTAGCTCTGTCAAGTAGCTAGCACTTATACAACTGCTAGCCAGGAAGAAGCTTGTGCACTGCAACAGGATTGCGCTCAGCTGCGAAAAAATGGAGGGAGTTCCCATGGGTTAAATCCACAAAGGTAGTTAGGTATTGCAGTGTCTAACCACTAGGTGCCCTGCCACCTTGCAGAATCCTCCATCCTGAGTTCGATACTTAGGCTCCTTATCAATGCGGGGAGGGGGAGGTAGGCACCTAACACAGGGATCTTGTAAAACCATCAGTGTCATGCAAAAGGAAGAAGGCAGGACTCAGAGCCAAGATTCACAAAGGCAGACACCTAACTCCGACTGATATGGTCCTCTACTGTGGGCAGCCCAGAGGCAGGCACCTCCCTTCACTCAGGATTTTCTGCCATATACCCTCTCCTGACATGAGGGACATGAGCCAGGGAAACCCATGCCCTAGCAGATGAAACCCAGACCATTCTCCTGAAAGACAAGGGAATGGGCATGTCTGAAACATAGACGCTTACTGGAGTAGGCAGCAACTTAGCAGTATTTTCAGGGTATCACTGGTACCTATGTTTTCAGGGTATCACTGGTACCTATGTTTTGGACTGAGATGCCTACGTGCCAGTGGATCTTTGTGATTCTAGCTCCTTGTGCCCCTTGCATACAATCTCACTCAACAGCTCTGATATGCTTGGGACCCCCCGGGTGAAAGGTGTGTACAAATGTGGGTTGTTATCATTTGTAAACAAACCTTCGCACTTTGACTGCAGAAGCGCTGTTGGTATTTTTGCATAGGTGCATTTCTGTTTATATGAAAGGGATGCAAAATCAAGAGCTAGTTATAAACCTCTTGTCATTTATTTCTTCTCAGATGATACATCAAGAGTGAAGCTTTCCAATGTAGATGATGATCCTTGTTCAGATTATATTAATGCAAGCTACATACCAGTAAGTTGACTCTCTGATATTTTTTATAGTCCTTGTCTCACCAATGGTAATTTCACCCTGCTGTGAAACGTAACATGTGGCTAGTTTCTTAGGACTCCTCTCCCTCTCCCCCTCCCCTCCCCCACTTCCATATGTTCATTGGTTTTAAGTAAAAAGTCTGAGAACTGTTGGTGTGTGTGCTGAAAGACCATGTCTGAATGCCATACATTGCCATACGGATAACAGGGACTGACTCGGCTCCTAAAGCCACTTCCCTGGATTGCTAGAGTCATATAGGATTGCAGTTATGATTGGCCAACAACACCTTTTCAAAGGTCACTGGTTTTATACAATTTCTGCAATAAGCCCAGCTATCACTGCACGTGAGATCATATGTATGGATTCATGCTTCATCCTGAAAAGGCTTGCTCCATGCATTATGGTGAAATTGGTGGAGGTTACAACTGTGCCCTTTGCCAGAGAATTATGATTGATCATAGCAGGAGCCTAACAATCTAGATTTCAATCCACCACTCAGCTAATTAATGGCAAATAGTAAAACAAAACAATTACCCGATGGTTCAAAATGCCTAGGGCAATGCTAGACATAATAAAAAGATGAAAAATCTCTAACTAATGCAGAAGGGACTAGCAAATCCCTTCCAGCAGTATTTATATACACTGGTACATTCTCTTTCTTCTCTTTGCTCCTACCAGTCTTCTGCTCCCAGAGCTTAGGGAGTCTTTAGCTGTTAGGCCATGGCTGGGCAAGAACTTGTCAGTGGGTTGGATCCAGCCCGCCTAGGTCTTTTATACAGCCTGCACTGCGGTTCCCGGCCCTCCCTCTAACAAATTGCCTGGGAGCCAGGGAATTTCAAACTGCTTCTATTTAGAGGTGGAGAAAGTGTGAGCCCTTTGAATAGAAGCAGTTGAAGGGGCTCACACTTCCTGGCCCTGACACGCTGCCTGGTTGCTGCTGGGGAGGCGTGAATCTTTTCACTTGCTCATGCCTCTCTGTGGTGGTTTCTTTGCAGTTGCTATAAGGTCCATTTCTCTGGCATTATAGAAACTAACTGGAGTTTCCTGGATTTGCAGGGCAATAATTTTCGCAGGGAATACATTGCGACTCAGGGCCCTTTGCCTGGCACCAAAGATGATTTCTGGAAGATGGCATGGGAACAGAACGTTCACAATATTGTCATGGTAACCCAGTGTGTTGAGAAGGGCCGAGTGAGTAGCGAGGTTTCTTATTTATTAATTTCTATTTTTAAATGTTGTATTTATTATTTGTATGATACTAACACCCACAAATATTGACTGAGATCAAGGTCCCATTATGGCAAGTGACACCTAGTAAGAAACAGTGCCTGCCCCTACAAGCTTAGAACTGGGATTTTGAAGCTATTTAGGCATCTAAATCCCTGTGATTGCAGTAGGAGTTAGGTACCTTTAAACATCTGACCCTTGCAGTATATACAGAAAAGACAGAAAAAGGGTAGGTGGGGAAACAGAGGCACAGAAAGGTGAAGTGACTGATCCAAGGTCACTCAGCAGGTCAGTGAGAGAGCTAAGAATAAACCTACTGCAAAACCACAGTCTTAGGCATGCATAGCACTTAAGAAGTAAATAAAACAATTACCCAAAGACTATGCAATCTATAAAGGCCTGATTCTACAACTGTAATCACATGTAGCAGCTTGTTTGTGACTATTTACATAAGGGCTTCTCGACCCAGTGGATAGACATAATGTTGCAAGGAATAACAATGTACAAATGGGAGGACAAAGGTGGGAGTCAATAAAGATCATGAGATAAGGTCCATGTATCACACGTACTTCATCATCTATTTATTTACGGTTAGTATATTACAATATGAAACATCTCAGGGCCTTATGCTTAGTTATTTGATTGTCCATGACAACCTCATAAAACGTATGGTGCCGTAATCAGAATATGAGCCACCATAAAAGCATCCATGTGTGGTACAGAGGCAAGTGTTTTGTGACAAGCCAGGGCAGTTATCCTGTATTCCCAATCACGCTTTAAACCAGAGAGTGAACTGGGAGGAGGCATGAGAAGAAATAATCCAAGATCCATCTTTTTGAGCTGTCAAAATAAAAATCTACTCACAATTGATCTTCGTAATATGATCATCTCTCTTCTTTTCATGTGCTTTGATCAACAGTAAAATAGTTAACAGTGTTGACATTTACACTGCAAACAATAAGCTTTATAATTAACATATTCTTATCATGCATAAAAGAGTGCATGCTTTCAGAACTGATGTCACACTCAGGTAGGCATCACTGAATTGGTCATACTCTGATCATATGTGTACAGTTGTCTTTTAATTGCTGAAGAGCTAGAGAGTTAATTGTGTTTTAATAAGTTAAGGTTTTAGCACACAAGATGGCAGCCTCCAGGAAAAAAGAACTGGTTCACTGACGTTACATCTAGACTACATCCCTTTTTTTGATAAAGGGATGTAAATTAGGCATGTCGATATTGCAAATGAAGCCAGGATTTGAATTTCCCATGCTTCATTTGCATAATGGTAGCCTCCACTTTTTTTCGAAATGGGGCTTTTTTTTAAAAATGGCAGTTTAGATGGGGGCATTTTTGACAGAAATGTCCCATTTCTAAAGATCCTGTATGTCTCAAAAAGTGATCTTTCAAAATCGGGCATTCTGTCGAAAATGCCCTGACTAAACTGCTGGGAGGGGTTTCGAAAAAGCCCCGTTTAAAAAAAAAAAAAAAAGCAGTGGCTGCCATTATGCAAATGAAGCGCAGGAAATTCAAATCCCGGTTTCATTTGCAATATCTATGTGCCTAATTTACATTCCTTTACCAAAAAAAGGGTTATAGTCCAGAGACAGCCTGAATCAGCCCAGAGCAAACTCTGTTTTAAACAGTCTAAAGAGTGCAAGCAATGATAACTGTATTAAAGATGTTAAGGACTAGTCAACTAGTCCAATGTTTCTCAACCAGTATCCTTAGGGATATTTCAAGAGAAGTCTTGGGGATATGTCAACACAACTGAAATTTAGAGAAAACTAAGTTTTTGTTTTAAATTTTACAGCACTTTATTATTTTTGTACTTTTTACGTCCAAAAATTCCATCGCCCACCCAGTTATGATTAAGTTGTTTAAAGAAATGTGTTGCAATGGTAGAAAAAAATGTTGTGTGTCTGAAAACTGTAGGTACTAGGGGTACTTATAATTTTTTTTAGAGGGGTACTTCATAAAAAAAAAAGGTTGAGAAACAATGGAGTAATTGATAGAGGCAACAAATGGGGGGAGAGAAGGGATACTTCAAAGCGGCAGCGCCACACAGCTGAGCCAGGGATCAGCTGTGCAGCGCTGCCCCTTTGAAACACTGAGCGGTATTCAAAGGGCCAGCACTGTTGGGGATGGGGTCAGATGGGGACTCCCCAGCTGATCCTGGGTTCTGGGGAAATGCTGCTCAGAACCTGGGGTCAGCTAGGAGCTCCCCAGCTGACCCCTGGCTCTGCGTGGCATGCAGCACAGCATGGAGCCCAGGGTCAGCGGAGGACTCTGAGTCCCCCGCTGACCCCAGGCTCCATGAGGATGCTGTGGCTTTGAAATGCACAAGAGCCCCCGCTGGGGACTCTTGTACATTTCAAAATAGACACACTCGCCTGCAGCATGGAGTCAGAAGGACTTCTCGCTGGCCCCGGGCTGCGCACACAGTTCCGCATTCCTCCTTTGAAATGTACAAAAGCCCCAGAAGGAACTCTTGTACATTTCAGAGGAGGAATGTGGAAGTGCCTATCGACTAGTCGAGTAGTCGATGGAAATTCCATCAACTACTCAACTAGTCAATTAACCTCAATTTAACATCCTTAAACTGTATGTGGAAATGCCTTTTGCTGTTGAAGCCCTGACATAGCAAAATACTTAAGGGTTGCCTAACTATTCAGTGGGACCTCTTGCATACTTTAAGCACCTGCTTAGATCCTTTGTTGAGTACATGTTCATATGAATTATTTTAGCTGCCTTAATTGTCCATCAGCTGGTGTGTGTCTCCTTCTTGCCTTCCTGGAAGTGGGGGATTCTTAGAAACTCTGTGCAAAAAATGAGCAGATCTGAAGTTGTTTAAATATGACAGGTTGGCTCCAGCTCTTATTATTACTGAAACACTCTTTTCTTTGTCCTTACAGGTGAAGTGTGATCATTACTGGCCCCTGGACCGGGATTCCTTGTATTACGGAGACCTAATAGTTGAGATGTTGTCAGAGTCAGTGCTTCCAGAATGGACAATAAGGGAGTTTAAAATTTGTAGTGTATGTTATTTATTTATTTTTAAAAAAATCTGTTAGGATATCTTAGCGTGGCTAAACCTCACACATCCCGATTGCTCACTAGTAACCTGTTCCCTAATGCTAACTGTAACAGAGCATGATGTTCACTACAAAGACTTGGCATGTTAGAACATCTGCCTCTTGACTTTTCTGATTTTCCATATTTCTGTGATCTGACAGGAAGAGCAGCTTGACTCAAAGAGGCTCATCCGTCACTTTCATTACACAGTATGGCCAGACCATGGAGTTCCAGAGACTACCCAGTCCCTGATTCAGTTTGTAAGAACTGTAAGGGATTATGTCAACAGGACGCCAGACACTGGACCAACCATTGTGCACTGCAGGTATAAATGAAAGCTGGATGCCATGAGTTCAGGAGTTTTATAAAATACACTTAAAAGATCTCTAATGTTGGTGTCTCTCGGGGAATAACTTTCACTTAAATGTCTATGGCCACAGGCTTTAATAGGCATTTTGAGCTAGGTGATCCAGAGCAGTGTACGACTCACCACTCCCCCCCCTCCCCCCAATTTTAAAGCTTTGTGGGTTAACTACAAAATTTGGGTCTATATTCAGGTCATAATCTGAATCTGCAGGTTCACCTCTAGAAAGAAAACAGCTTTAAAGGCTCCTTACAAAAAGATTTGGATATATTGAACTATCAACCTAATTTGATCCATAGTGACAATAGAAGATATCGCAACTAGCTCTTCCATCACTCGAAACAAAGAATCTACCTCCACTGTAAACTATTGCCATCTGAAATCCTAGAGCTGCCACTTGACTAGTGCAGTGAACCCCAAGATCATGGTGGAGTAATAGCAATGCTCACCTGTCCCTTGCCTGAATGAAATGTAAATATGGCGAGAGCTTTGACCCAGTGGATTTGTATTTTCCATATCTTTTCAGTGCTGGTGTTGGTAGGACAGGCACATTCATTGCGCTGGATCGAATCCTTCAGCAACTAGACTCTAAAGATTCAGTGGATATTTATGGAGCAGTGCATGATTTAAGGCTTCACAGGGTTCACATGGTTCAGACAGAGGTAAGCTTTGGATATGGCACCTCTTCAGCATTCATGTAAGAATAACAGTTGGAACACGGAGTGTCTCTTCTGCGGATCTCAAATCACTTCACAACTGTTCATAAATTAGGCTTTGTGGCACCACTGTAAGATAGTTAACAGGTACGATAGCACTGAGAATCTGATCTAATTCCTACTGAAGCTAGTGGGATATTTTTCCATTGCCTTCCATGGAGCTGGATCAGGCCTCTACACATGAAATTTTATACCAATCTTAGAAATGCCTCTGCAGTTCAGGGGTGGATAAAGTGCTCCCTAGAACTCTGTCTTCCCTTGGAACGTAATGCAGATACCTTTAACAGCACATCACACTGGAGTTACTGAATTAGATAAATAATTTGGGAAGGTGGGGAAGTAACATAAGCTTTTAAGTACATTGGGGATGGGCACTAAGATGGACAGATAGGAAGCCATAAAGGAAGGAAACAGTGGAAGATGGAGATAATTATTGTTTATTATTTAAAACGGTAGCACTCTGACCTTGCAGCTGTGTGGTGTCCTTGTACTTCCTGGGCTGACATGTCCATCTTTCATTATGCTATTGGGCAGGAAGATCAGTCTTTTCCTAATCCGTTATCAAGGGCGCCATTTTGGGAGGGGGGGCAGCAGCCATGCGCTTTGGGATGTGGCTTGCTTTTCATCCCATTCCTGGGATGCTAAGGGAGTGAAGGGAAAGTACTTGTATTCCATACATGCCTCTCACACCTGACTGGTGAGTTCTCTTCACCAGCCAGGTGTGAGAGGCATGCACAGAATCCAAGCACTTTCCCCTCACTCCCTTAGCATCCGGGGAATTGGATGAAAAGCAAGCCACATCCCAGAGCTCATGGCTGCTGCCCTCCATCCCCACCCTCCCGAAATGACGCTCTTGCCCGTCATGCAGAAGGCACTGCATCTATTCTGTTAGCACAGGACAAACACGTCTTCTGTGCTTTTAAAAATGCAGGAAAACCACTTTCAGAGAATGGTGGCTAAAAACTCAGGGACTAATAATAGAGTAATGGAGGCAGCTTGTTCATTGTCGCTGTGGAACCTGTTAATAGAGAAATCGGAGCTGCAGCCTGATGCCAGTGTAGCTCTTTGTTGCAATTTGGAGGCTATGTTGTGGATGGCTAAGTTCACTGATGTCTGAAAAAAAAAAAGAGCAGTACATGGGTTTGAGAAGACTCTGCTTTTTATTTCACTAATCACTAAAGCACTCTAGTTAGCACAAAGTCAGAGTTTTCCAGACCTGGTTGTGGAGCTTCAATGTCAGCCTGGCATGTGGTCTCAGTCAGATGTTTGCCCCCTGGTAAAATGTTTGCCAGGAGAGGGACCAGGATACAATGAGAGAATAATTGGTGGTTAGCACGACAGGCAGTGTTCGCAACAGCTGCCTAACTGGCAGGGGAATGCTGCCACATTTCATTCACAGCAGGAGCCTTTAGTAATATCTGCTAACTGTAGATACTTTGCCCAGCCCAGATTTTCATTGAGCAAGTGTGTAGGGTGCAGAATTCTGTTTCCTGGAGACAGCAGATTTTGTAATTTTCCTAAAGAGAGGGCAGAGCAACAATTAAACTTTCTATGCAAATGAAGAGAAATTACTGAAAAAAACAATTGTGTTTCCTAAGGGAAAGGACGCCTTTAAGGAAAGGTAAAGTTAGAAGCAAGAGCCTTAGTATGAGGAGGCATTCACTAAAATCTTTGTCTATGGATACTATAGTACATTTGTTATGTAATGCTAGTGTTCCTGTGGTCACTGCCCTGAGAGAATGGTAAAATGTAGCAAATCTGCAGTTCATGCATAAGCAGAGACAACCGGGGTGAGTAGCAGATCATATCAGTTTAGGTCCTGTCCACACTGATCAAGAACGACATTGTAGCTTCTTTCTAGTAAACTATTCAAACACTGTCCTTAGACAGGAAACAATACAGTTCACTTGGCTTACAGGCAATATCACAGTCTAATAAACCAGTTGCTAGCACATTTTAAGTCCTGTCAGGACTGGCGAGGGAAAGAACATTGATTCTTTCAATATGAATGGTTTTTACCAGAAATATAATTTGTTAGAAGAGGGTCCCAGAGGCTTTCCATGTCCAGTATAAACAAGGTCTAACTACACTTCCCTGCCCAGCATAGGAGTAACCACAGTTCCCTGTAACCTGAGCGCATGGGTGGTCGCTCAGGAGTGATTCACTGCCCAGTGATACTGCCCAGTTGATGAGCAGAGCACCCACAACTAGGTTTTGTTTCTACTGGTGGTGCACATTTGCACATGCCTTAGTGCACACTAGCATTGTTAAAATGCAGGTATTTAACTAATCGAGTAGTTGATAGAATTTTTATCAACTGTTTGATTAGTCGTTAGGCAGCCCAGCTCAGTTCTGGCTCACACCAGGCGCAGGACCCAACCATGCTGCAACTCTTCAATTTAAAAGGCAGTAGGAGCTGGAACTGAGCCGGGCTGCCTGCCCAGCCAGCAGCAGCCCCTGTGCATAGGGGTTCCAGTGGGGATTTGGGGCCTCCTGAGCACAGGGGCTGTTGCCATGAAGCAGCTCCTGCCTGTGGCTAGGTCACCATGGACAGGGGCTGCTTCATGGCAGCAGTCCCTGGGCACGGGAGGTCCCAATTTCCTTCTGGGACCCCCAGTGCATAAGGACTGCTGCTGCAAAGCAGCCCCTGCTCCCTCGCCTCTGATAGAGGCAGCAGCAGGGGTGAAAGGGGAAGGGGCAGCCCCACAGAGAGCGTGCTGGGGGGGAACTGGCTTTTAAGCCAGCTCCTCCCCAGCACCAGCTTCTGCTCCCCGCCCCCCCACCCGCACACACTGCCTCTGTATCAGAGGCAGCAAGGGGGAGGATATGAGTAGTCAACTCAACTACCCGATAAACATAGGCTTCTTGGGTAGTCGACTTCTCCTTTACATCCCTAGTGCACATAGAAAAATGTATTTCATGCACAGATGGAAAAAAACATACTTGACTAGGCCTTACTTCATTATGTTACATGAGGCTTAATGTTTTGTAAGGGTACTCAAAAGCTACTATAATTATCAGAGTTATGTAAGACCCGGGTTTCCATGTCACAGGAATTTCTGCCATTTCAAAATGTGTTTAGTTCTGAATCAGAATGAAAATAAATAATTCTAAAATTTCCCATGAAACGATTTTTTAAATCAACTTTCAGGTCAATGGAAATATTTCATTTTGATTTCAGTATTTTAGTTTTCATTATTTTAACATTATAAAATAAAAGCTATTTCAAAACTAAAAATCCATTTTTGTATGGAAAAATTGAAACATTTCATTCCAAATATGTCAAAACAAAACATTTTGACTTTTGGAAATTTTTTTAACATTTCTTTTCCAAAAGAAACGTAGCTGATTCCACAAGGATTTAAGTTCCAACAAAATGCCATTTTCCCAGCAGAAAAATGACCAAGTGGAGAATTTTCCAAACCCTGCTCAAATAAAAGTCTTATAAAGATCACATTCTTGTAACAACTGACATGGCTCTTTCTCTCCCTTGGAACAAAGGTGTTTCAAAACACTCCATATTTTAGCATTCAGTGGCACCTGAGTGTGTAAGACTCTCCTAACTCCCTTTCAGATTTCACTCATTTCTGATACCTCCCTCCCTCTTTTCCAGTGTCAATATGTCTATTTACATCAGTGTGTGAGAGACGTGTTAAGAGCAAGAAAGCTACGCAGTGAACAAGAAAATCCCTTGTTTCCAATATATGAAAATGTGAATCCAGAGTATCACAGAGGTAGGGATGAAGTTATTGAATTGTACCACATTTCAGATTCACAATTTAATAGCCAGGGACAAATTGCATTATCTCTTGCCTGGGTTATTATAACCTCCTAACACAGACTTTCTCTCGTCTCACCTCTTCTCCCTTCCACTCTATCCAAAATGCTGGTGCTACAGTTGTCTTCCTCTTAGGGTTGCCAGATACTTTCACAAAAAATCCCAAACATGGCAGGAAATAATTGGTTGAGCAAAAAAAAAAAAAAAAAAACCACAGGGGAACAAAGTTGAGGGGGGAAAAAAGGGGGAAACAAAGTTGACGAGTAGATAGGGACCACAAATACCGGACTGTCTGGGTGAAAACCTGGCAACCCTACTTCCTCTCTTGTCACTCTCCCAATTCATTCTCCTCTCCATTGGCTTCTCCATTAAATCCCAGCTGCACCTACCTACGTCTTCTCTGATCTCATTTCCTCCTAGACTGCTCCCTCATACCTTACACACCTCCCGGTGCCATCACCTTATTATTTCCTTGATCTTGCTTTCATGCTCGTACACACACACTATTAAGCTGTTCCCTCTGATGGGAACAGTCTCCAACCCTCTCTTCTTATTAAAACTCACTCCTCCGAAAAATATTTGCTTCCTACTTCATTTCAGCAACTGTCTCCTCCTGGTTTCCTTTGTAATGTTCTTACATCTTACATTTGTCTGGTCTGTTTTACTTATGAGCTTGTTGGGAGACAGAAAATGTTTTATGTTCATCTATATTTCTAGTACAACACAGGGGACTTGTAACTGAGACAAGTGACATTTGCTTTCCATTGTTGATGATCTGTTTTCAAAGCCTGTCTCTTTTTCCAAGTGGAAAAGAATTTGGTGATCAGATTCCCTCCTCTACATATGAGAGGCCAAGGAGTGAAATAACAAGAGTTGTACAACTCACGACTGAAGTGTAATGGTGGGGTGTAAATGGAAACTTGTTCAGTGTCTCCCTTTTTTGATACCAGTCTCCAGACAGTGCTGGTACTCTGCCACTTCTCCAAGCACAATAGTCATCTGCTCGCAATAAAAATAATATGGACTGATGATTTTTCTAATCTATTTTCCTTGTTTCCAGATGCGGTTTATTCGAGGCACTAAGAATGTAACAGACACCTGCTTTTGTGATCAGATCTGTTAACTTTGTGAGTGAGTGAGAGTGAGTGAGTGTGTGTGTGTGTGTGAGAGAGAGTGAGTGTTTCATGCACTAAAGAGGAGCCAGACATTTCTATTGATGCTGTGTATAATTTATTGGTCTGGTGATTTTTTTAAAAGATATATAATTTAAGTGTAACAGATATTATTGTATATAATTGTATTTTGGTGTTATGTAAATATGTATTTTTTCTATAATGTTTATATGAATATTAAGCTTCAGATAATACTATTTTTCCATGCTAAAGTTATTAGAAACTTTTCTACATAAACTATTTTAAACTGTGTGTCAAAAAGAACTGCTGAGTTTGGAGCAGGTTATCTATTGGCATTTAATATACAAGGAAAACCCATTAAGCCTAGCCAGCCTTTTAGCTGATTCAGTGTTCACAAGATGAAATATGCAACATATTAGATAAAGGATAGTAGTCCTACATAGAAATGCTAAACTTTAAATTGATTGCTTGTGATCTGATCAGAATGGAAGCAATCCAAAATGCCAAGTCACTGCCATATACCGTTTATTTAAAAATCATTAACATCCAAATAAAACAGCATCCACTTCCCTGTGAGCAACTGTCTCATTGTAACCTGAATGTCAATGGAAAACATTAACAATATGTTGCCTTATAGTTGAATAGAACTTTTCTGTTACTCAGATGGGAGGTTAGATTACGATTTGACCGACATGACTGATGTATTCTTAAATGATTGCATATAGCAGCCTAAGACAATAAGTAAACTATACATGCATTCACCCTGACTGACATGCAGACACTTATTTCCATGAGGATGCAAAATCTGGCCATTTCTATCACTCTTTAAAAATAAAATCATTATTAAGACAGTTTAAAGAATAGGCCTGGCTGGATAGTATCAGTGTAGAGCCCCTCAGGAGTATAAAGATTTACAGATGTATACCAGAGCAGCATATAGCGGGGATGCCCTGTATGTCAGTACTCACTCCAGGCTACGTGGCCCAGAGAGTTTAATATCGTCCCAGTCAGCACTTTGGCTGTGGGAAGAAAATGGATCCCATTCCACAGACTTAAAATCATGTATTAGGTTTGAGAAGATGAAACTTTGCCCCAGGTTCCAGGAAGAGAAGGACATCAGCCTTTTTTTCAGTGCTGCATGCTGGGCTAGTCTCTCCTTGCTGCAGAAACACCCGTGAGAGTGACAGTGTAGGAGCGGAGGAAAACACCCCGCTTGCCCTTGCAGCATTTTCCTCAGATCTTTCCATTGAGTGGGATGGGATGGGTGGGTTTGCCTAACACCGAACGAGCAAGGATTTCCACCCACATACACTGCAGATCACCCAAATTCCCCTAGATAGAGAGGACCATCCCTAGAGTCCTTGTTCCTCCACACCTGCCCTGGAGTCCCCCTACTGCTAACCAGACACCCTTCCTGCAACTGGTCTAGAGGCCTCCCTTTATACAAGGTTTCACAGCGCTCAAAAGCATTAGGCTCCTCTAAGAGATTATTTTGTTTGACAGTGACGTTGATCCTCTGGCCGGTGGCCCATTTGCCTCACAGGTGAACCTCAAGATTTTCTGAGACTCTTTTGGGTGCTGAGGAGGAAGGGAACAACACTCCACTTCCACAGAGGGCAAAGGCTATGGGTGATTTTAAGTTCGTTCTCCTTAGGCCCATGAGCCCTTTATTCCTTTCACTGCTGAGCTCTGGCCTGGCTTGACCTGGCTAAGACAAACAAGCATGACAGTTATGTGCACGCACACACACGTAGGCGTGCGCGCACACACACCACCCCTGAACTCACAGTTTGTCAGAGGCAGTGGTTCACTTGGTATGTGAAGTTTATCCACCAAGCCACCACTAGCTGCCTTGGAACCAGTCTGTACCCCTGCTTTTTGCAGCAGTGCCTAAAGCAGGAGCTTAGTTATGATCAAGTACAATTGCACTTTAAAGGAATATCAAATGTACTAAATAAATTATTCCTCATTAGCTACTACCATGTCCATTTTTCTGCTGAGGAAATGAAACCTGTTCAATAATATATTCTTGGAGGCACGAGTCAATGGTTGTAAATTTTGTGTGTGTGTGTATACACATATACACACACACAATTTATAATTGTTTTCAAAAAATTAAGAATCAGATTCCCCTTTTAATTTTAAGTTGATTTTTATTTTCAAAGGTGCATCCCTCCTAGATGCCTTCAAAGTATACAAATCAGCAGACAAAACATGCATGATGTCCTAGCCAATGTTTGTTTTCAATTCTTTATCCTAACAGTGCCAGTAGAGCATGAAGTTTTTCCCTATCTGTTGTAAAATGATGAGCAGCCCTAAGCACTCTCCTACAGTGCTCTTAGACGGCGTTATGTTTCTCCCTAGCTATGTGACATTGTGCACGCACACACATACATACAGAGTATGGCTAGTTCTACATTCTAGCAATAACTTGACATATTCATATGGACCCAGTATAATTATACTGAGAAGAAATAAAGGTCAGAACCTCTGTAATGTTTTTGGTGCAAGCTACCAGTTAGTATAATTAATTATATGTATTGTGCCTTGGAGTAGAATGCCAGGACCGACAGGGAATTGTTAAACAAAAAGGCTGGACTACAAGGAGCTGCAGTACTGAAAAAAGTTAGCTGTTAAGGAACATAACCTTCGCCTGAAGATTTGTATGTACTGTATGCCTAAAAATCTCCTCTTGATGTTTCCCAATTTTTGATCTTGTAAACCCTTGAGCTAGGATTTGCACACTTGGGTCCAGTCTTGTAAGTCACACCCCTTTCCTTGTATGAATAGTCCAGTTAGTGTCAGTGGGCTATTTACATGTGAAATAACATCTAGATCATCATTTGCAGGACTGAGGCCTTAGGTAACATTTTTTTTCTTGAAATATATTTAATAAACTTTGTGATGAATTGTTTTCTTCCATGAAATACCAATGCAAGGCCTATTATCTATTTTAGCAAATACTTTCACATAACGTGGCTAGAGAATTAGTGAAGTGAGCTTTTTTAGTTACAAATAGGTCATTGAACTAAATGATTGCAATAGACACACTGTGAAGATGTCATGAAAGTGCAACTTTATAAAATGTATATGCTGCTATGATTATTTATATGGCTTAAATGTGCTCGATAAATGCTTACCAAAAAGTATTCTTTAGGCCGCTACATAAGAATTTCCCTTCAGCTGAACACTTAAGAGTGGTTGGTGTTCAGATTACATAGTATGCCATGGCGCTGATGATGTGCCTTGGAAAAACAACACTCTGAAACAACATACAATAAAGTAAGACCAAGTACAATTCAAAGTGAATAATATTCCTGAACTCAGTGGTAATGGCCTCAGAATTATCACCTGGGAAAAGGGTACTGGGGGAAGGACGGGGGAAGAGTGTGATCTGTGGTGACATGTCCAAGAGCCGTAGATTGTAGCTACTCTTTTACGAGATTGAGGTGTGGCCTTGTATGCAGTGCACTAGCTCTAACGTGTGTGGTTCACAATTGCATGCAATTATTTGCCTTTCTGTCAATGCCTCAAAGCCCTTCAGTTATGTAACTAGGCTGAAGCATAGGATGACAGCCATTCTTTGGATGATCCTGTGCCCAACCTCAATCATCTGAGTGTTGCATTCTGGGCCCTGTTGTCCCTGGAGGGTGCAGCTCTATGACCTTGTCTATACTTACCAGGATATTTGGGCTGCAGGGATCAGTCTCACAGGGGTTAATTTAGTGGCTCTAGTTAAAAACCAGCTTAATCAACTGCTGATCACGCGCCCCTCGACTCTGGTACTCCACTGGATTGAGAAGAGTAAGGGGAGCTGAGGAAATAATTTATCTCGTTGACCATCCGCAGTGGGGATGCCACAGCAATTTGATCTAAGGTACATCGACTCCAGCTACGCTATTCATGTAGCTGGAGTTGCATTGCTTAGGTCAACATTTCCCCCAATATAAACCTGACCTATATTAAAGATGAATGTGCACTAGCAGTCGCTCTGTGACCTGTTGTCCTATGTCTGTCCCCTTTCTAACTCTTGTAGTGCAACTCCTATGCATCACGATGCTCAAAGTAAGGCAGCTTACTCATGACCTAGCAAATCAATAAACTAGATAAGATTGGGCATGTTGAATGACTGGAGAAGAAAATATCTACGGCTATGGGCTAGCTGATATACACTATCAGGCTACGACTATAAACTACAGGCTTCTTGCGCAAGAAGCTTTTTTCAGAAGAGATCTTTTGTGAAAGAGAGCGTCCACACTGTACAAGCACATCAGGAGCTCTTTCGCAAAAAGACTTCTTTCTCATAGTATGAGGATTACCAATTGCACAAAAAGCCTCTGTTCTTTCGATTTACAGTCGAAAGAACACACTTGCAGTGTGGATGTAACTCAAGTTTTGTCAGAAAAACTGCTGTTTTTCTGACAAAACTCTGTAGTCTAGACATAGCCTGTGTAACGCTGGGTGCATAATTTTCAGGATGGCTTTGTTGTTTGTTTAATTTGCAAGCTAAAGCCAATATAGGAAGAAAGCCATGTAGCTGACTATATAGTGCTCTCAAATGTCACACTATTTTACATTACAAACCAATTTTTTTAAAATCTAGCTATTCATAAATTCTGTGCCTGACTAAAGTTTCAGAAAAACGTAGAAATCATTCCATTTTTATATGCTGTATAATTATTCATGTTTGTGTTTCTAACAAGCACTAGGTGAGCACAGAGCTATGCTACTGTTATTTAATTTATGTATACTTTTATATTTTTAACACCAGTCTACAAAGCAAATATAGTTGAGTGTATTTTACACATTGTTCATGAATAAAACAGTTTCTTTAAATGAATGTGCTCTTCTTCCATTCGACTGCTTTTGCAGTATGTGTTTGTGTTGCCCTGTTGCTCAGGGAAACGGTCATAAACGAGTTCGATTTTTAAAGAAGACGCTTCAGGGAACATTAAATTCATCAATGACTTGCCTTAAACTTTTTCTGCTCGATGGTGTGCTTGCTAGAGAAAACCACACACTATCTGATATTGAGTGAGGGTTGCTTTTCCCTCTCAAATACTTTGTGCTTGTCCTTTAGTAACCAAGATGCTAGCCGTTAGCCAATGTGAGTTTTCAGCGGTAGTGCAGCTCAGGAGCTTAAGTGCCTGTTTCTTCAGAGACCTGTCACAAGGCCCCAGTACCAATTAGGACAGCTCCTCAGCTGAGGTAAATGGGCATTGTTCCATCGACTGCAGCAGAGCAATGTGGCTGTTTCTACACTGGCATGAATTTCCGGAAATGCTTAAAACGGAATACTATTCCATTTTCAGTTTTTCGGGAAAAGGAGCGTCTACATTGGCAGGCTGCTTTTCCGGAAAAGCCCTTTTTCTGGAAAAGCGTCTGTGGCCAATGTAGACGCGCTTTTCCGGAAAAGAGCCCCGATCACCATTTTCGCGATCGGGGCTTTTTTCCGGAAAAGGCTACTGGGCTGTATACACTGGCCCTTTTCCAGAACAGTGTTCCGGAATAAGGACTTATGCCCGAGCGGGAGCAGAATAGTTTTTCCAGAATAGTGGCTGATTTTGTACAGTAGAGCATCGTTGCTTTTCCGGAAATTCAAGGGCCAGTGTAGACAGCTCGCAGCTTATTCCGGAAAAGCGGCTGATTTTCCGGAATAAGTGGCCCAGTGTAGAGACAGCCTGTGAGTTTACATCAGAATTTGAATCTTGATAGTTAACAGTTTTTTCGCCTTTATTTTGCTTGTGGGCCTACTATGACTAATTAAGTCAAACAAGTAGTTTCACTGTGTTGGCCTGTATTTGCAATTTGCTGGTAAGAACAGACTGGTCTGATGATTTGAAGGGAACAATGATATTTGTCCACCATTTGGTATTCCCCCCATGCCTATTTCAAACTCCAAGCAGGGGACTGTGAGTTCCTGCTTGTGGAGGCAGACTTGTACTCACTCTCCTTGAACTAGATCACTAAAAATAGCAGTGTGGCCATGCTTGTGTACCCCACACACCTTCTGGGTGTGGTTCACTGTCCCATCCACTTACAGAGAAAATAATGAGCAGCAATGTGGAGCAGCCAGTTGGCCCTTGAGGAGCTCTGTCCTGCTCCCTGCCTGGGCCCAGCTGCCAGAGAGAATGGCTGAATAGGCCAGGGGGAGGCACAGCAGGAGAAAGACAGGTCCCCCGCACTGCCTCGTTTCCACCCCCCTCACCTCCACCCTGCAGGTCATCTGGGGCAGGGAGAGAATGACAGCCCCAAGAGGTGTGGGGAGGTGGTCACTGGGCAGAGGGGACATGCAAGGTGGTTACATCTCTTCCCTTTCGACTGTGTAACCAGACAGCTAGTGTGAAAAATTGGCTCAGGGACAGGAGGCAATATAAGACAAAGCTCCAATGATTGGGACTATTCCTATAAAATCAGAACAGCTGGTCAGCTGCTGACACAGGAATTGAATCTAGTTTTCCCAGCAGCCTAGTCCACTAGCTAGCCACTAGGCCATCCTTCCTACCCACTTGTAGATGGCAAACATCAAAGATTTTCAACGGATGTGGGAGTAGTGCACGACTATGAAGGCTCCAAAAAGGGAACTAGTTGTTAGGAAGACCTTTCCTGCAGAAGAGAATCTAAGGGTAATAAAAATGTATGGTTTCAAGGGTAAGCCAGTCTGAGAAAGGATTAGAAAAGGTGTGAGTGGAGACTGCACATGGACGGTATTTGTTATGTTTGTCTGCATTTTCATACAGCTGGAGGTTGTGGGAGAGGGCACCAATAGCAGGATTCACTTTGCATTTTAAAAATTATTCTAGTAAAAATGTCTATGATTTTCTGAAAAGCTTCGCTAAACAGATACTGGGGAAAGCTGCAGAGGGGTAGCTGAGTTAGTGTGTAACAGGAAAAACTTAAACAACAACAAATAGACTAGTAGCACCTTAAAGCAGCATTGGGCCCTGTGGCAAAATAGCCATTGACTTTAATGGGAACAGGGGGTGTGGCCAGAAAAATAAACTTGGTTTTATTTCCTATCCTACTGCAAGTAGAGAGATATGAAATAAACAAGAGGACTGGTAGCAATACAGAGGGGAAAGCCAATGTCGTCTTTAAGAAATAAAAACATATATGTGGTGTCGTAAAGATACAAGAATATACCCCAGTGTAAGCTGTAGCAGTAATTACTGAAAAATAAATGCAGAAAAAGAAAGTTTCTC